GGTATGTTAAAATCTCCTACCACTATCATGGTGCTGTTTCTTTCTTTTTTCAATTCTGTTAATGACTGCTTTTTTTTTTTTAGCAGATCTCTAGCATTTGGTGCATAGATGTTGATGAATGCTATGTCTTCTTGATCTACTGTACCTTTAATCATTATATAGTGCCCTTTCTAATCTTTTATGATGGTTTTAATTCTGGAGCCCATTTTTTCAGAGATTAGTATCCTGCTTTTTTGTGGTTGTTATTTGTTTGGTATATTCTTTCTTTGATTTTGAGTCTATCTTTATCTTCCTTTATTAGAGATCTTTATTTTAGACAACATATTGATGGACTTTGCTTTTTTATCCATTCTGCTACTCTTTTTCTCTTGATTGGTGGATTTAGTCCTTTACACTAAGTGTGATTCTTGATAGGCCAGGTTTTATCGGTGCCATTTTGCCATGTTTCTTTTGTTATTGTTTCTTGTTAGTATGGTCTATCTACTTTCCTTTGGTGTCTCAGCATGAAAGACTTCCCTTAAAAGTTCTTGTAGATTTGGTCTTGTTTTCACAAATTCCTTAAGTTCTTTCTTTTTTGCAAAGGATGTGATTTCTCCTTCATATCTGATGAAGACCTTTGTTGGGTACAGGATCTTGGGCTGGCAATTGCTTTCTTTCAACTTTCTATTTATGCCATCCCATTAGCTTCTTGCTTGCATTATTTCTGCTGAAAAATCAGAACTTAAATTGCTTTTCCTTTGTAGGTCACTCTTTGTTTTTCTTGTGTTGCTTTCAAGATCCTATCCTCATCTTTTATTTTGGAGAATTTGACTATGATATGTCTTGATGTTTTCCTTTTTGGATCTAGTCTATTTGGTGTTCACAGAGCTTCCTGAATGTGGATTTCCTCATTCTTCATAATAACTTGGGAAGTTTTCTTCTAGTACCTCTTCCACAATTTTCTCAGTGATTTCCCTATCCCTCTCATATTCTGGAATTCCAATCATATATATATGTTATTCCTTTTTATGTCATCCCACATGATTCTAACATTTTCTTCATGTCTCATCTCTGATTTTTCTTTTAGTATCTTTCTTTTGATTTTCTTGTTCTTCCAAATCACCGACTCTCAGCTTCATCTCTTCTGTTCTACTTTTTTGTCCTTCAAATGGGTTGGACATGTCTGCCATTTTAGTCTTAATATTCTGGATTGCATTTTTATGCCTTTCTGTTATTTCTAGTATTGTGCTGGCAGTACCCTATCTCATGATGATTTTTTAAGTTCTTGTAGAAGGAGAATTGAGGCCTTTGAGCTGTGGTGTTGGAGAAGAGTACTGAATGGACTGCTAAGAGAATGAACAGGTTTGTCCTGGACAGGGTGAAGCCACGCTGCCCCTTGGAGGAAAGGATTCTGAATCTTCATCTGACATACTTTGGACATGTTGCAAGGAGGGACCATTCCCTGGAGAGTGACATCACGCTTGGGAGGGTGGAGGGACAGCGCAGGAGAGGAAGACCCTCAATGAGATGGATTGATTCAGTGACTGGGGTAATGGGGGTAGTTGTGTCAAAGACAATGAGGTTGGCACAGGATAGAGCAGGGTATATAGGGCTGTTGTACAGAGGGTTGCTATGAGTCGCAGGTGACTCAATGGCACATAACAACAACAACCTCTTTATCTATAGTTTCAAATCTTTCTTCCATATTTTGCATTTTTTTCCATATTTGTGCAAGTTCTTCCTCATCAGTGGATTTCATCTGGCTCCATGTCTTTTGAGTATTTGCTTTCTAAATGATTTCCATTGCTTCTTCCATTATTTGCACCTTCTTCTGTGGCTGTACAAATAACTCTTCATTACTATAAATTATTTCTGTTCTCTACCTCTAAGGTAATCCTTTTATTTGTGGCTTCGACTGTTTCTTCCATTCTTTGTACTTTTTTTCTTCTTCATTTGTACTTTCAATCATAGCTATCAAATGTCCCTATATCAACATGTATCATCTGCCTTCTTGACTATAGGGTATTCATGAGGTCTTAATATTCTCTGCTTTTTTGGGAAGAAGGCTTAATTTGTTTTTAACTGTGTTTGAAGTTGCTTGCTGCTTTCTTGACATTATGTGACATTTTTCTTGATGAGTGTTAGGTCATTTTTATTGTGTCTGTGAAATCTGTTGGAGGGTTCTTGCCTTTATAATGTTACTAATTAGTTGCCAAGTTACAATGTTCAGTCTATGAAGTGAGCTACTCACTCTACTGGAAGTCCTTTCTGGGAAAATTTGCCTTTCTTAAAGTACATAAGGTTATCTCTGTTCTGCACTGTAGCCCTGTAGGAATCTGTAGGAATCTGGCCTTGATGTAGCCCCCTGACACCAACTCTATAAGCTACCTTCATGTATGAAGTGGCTGAGTGGTGTGAGACCAGGTGCTCTACTCAAGTAGTTCCTCATGCACATTTTCTCCTGGAGCTTAATGTCTTTGTCTCTGGAGTGGCACAAAATTTAGAGATATCAGCTGCCAGCTCAAGCAGGTTGTGTGCAAGGGGTCTCAAGTCTGCCCTCTCTCTTGCAGAGAGATACAAAAATTCTTTCCTCTGCTTGAAGTTCCGTGTACTAAAGTCTCTTGTTGTGTTTGACCCCAGGGCTGGTCCTGCAGCTGCAGAGGCAAGGACTCCCAGATGAAGGGACATATAACCCCAGGGATGCCTTAGCCCCATCTCCCCACAAGCAATGGAAAGTCTTCCCTTGAGGCAGAAAACCTCACCTCCTCTCGCCTTTTCTCATGCAGCTTAGTGTCCTCCTTTGTCTTTGGTGTGGTGGGAGATCAGGACAGCCAGCTCAGGCAACTTGTATGCAGACTCTCAAGTCAGCCCTCTGTTGCAGGGAGGTAAGAAAATTCTTTCCTCTGCTTATAGTTCTATGTACTATAAAGTCTCTTGTCCTGTTTGGCCCCTGGAACAGCCCCACAGGCACGGAGGCAAGGACGCCTCTGTCCCATCTCCCCACAAACAATGGAAAGTGCTCACTCTCAGTAAAGAGCCTCATGTTTTCTTCTGCAGTTTAATGTCTTGTGGCTGTAAATATCAATGGGAAGAGACTGCCATCTTTCTCCTGTGCCCTTAATAACATGTTCTTAGGTACCATTGAGCCAACGATAACTCATAACAACCTGATGAACAACAGATTTGAACTTTATCATGTGCCATCCTAAAAACATACTACTACTAAAAATAGGTAGAACGATAAAGACTTAAAATACTAAAAATAAAGCATCAGTTATGTATCAGTCATGGTTAAAAACATTATGTAAATAGGTAGCTCTGGTGGCACAATAGTTCAAAAGGCTGGTGGTTGGAACTTACTAGCCATTCTATGGGAGAAAGATGTAACACTTTACTTTGTAAATATTTATAGCTTTGAAAACCCTGTGAGATAGTTCTACTCTGTTCTATGGGGTTACTATGTGTAGTGCAGTAAATCTGTTGATATAGTTTTCTGTTGCTTAAAATAGTATTCCTAGACTACTGTTTAGCTAACTGCTTCCTCTCTGTCTGGTCTGCAAGCATGTTAACCTGATTCTGCTGCCTCTGCCTGACATGATCTGCCTATATACTTAACAGTTGTATGAACCCCAGATCAGGAGCTAGATAACAACAACAACAACAACAACAACAACACAGTCTTAGTAGAGGATAGGCAAAGGAACACTGGAGCAGAAGCATGATCGGCTGACTTAGCTCAAGCTTTCTGGGAGAAGTAGTTTCTGGGACTGATGCTAGTTTAGTTGGATGTATCTAACCTGGGACTGCTGTTCTACAGAACCAGAACCAGATGTCCTTGCCCAATATTTCTGAAAGACTGAGAGAATATATGGTTTTTGCATATGTTATCAACCTGTATAGCCTGTGAACATTTTCTGAATTGATGGACCACATGGTTACTAATTGTGGTCTGTTGTTTGCTATTGTCCTGAATTGTGGCCTACTGACTTCCCTAATAAACCCCACAATCAAACCTTAAAATCATGAGTATGGTTCTATGAAGTCTGTGTGGTCACTGTAATGAATCTCAGACCCAGTTACTAGTAAAATTGGTGATGAAATTGGTGAAAGTGGGTGCAGAAGCATGGGAGATCATGTCTAACCTTGCTATCAGTTTTATACTGTGGCTGTTGTTGATGGGGCGTGTTCTCCCTCGTAGAGTTAGGAGAGGTTGACTCTGCCTTCTCCATGTTGCCCATCCTCCTATTACACTATGAGTTGAGACTGACTTAACAGTAGTAGGTTTAGTTTTTGTGTTTTATATGTAAATATATTTTATACAACCAGGAGCTCTGGTGAGATAATGAATAAGGTTGTCCTGCCAATGCAGAAGAATGCAATTTGAATCCAACAACTTCCCTTCAAAGATGGGCAATCTCCCCCATGGATTTACTGTCTCTGAAAACTCACTAGAAGGTCATCTATCAATCAGTTCTGACTTGATGGTACACAATAACAACAACATTTATCTCTGACAATCATATTTGTTTGCTTGCTAACTGAGGGCTAAGGTACAGGAGGACAGGCTCTTATGCTTGGTTCCTCACTAAATACTTGGCCCTTGGCACGGAGCCCAAGAAAGAACACATCTACAGTAACTCTGTGTGTGTGTGTGTGTGTGTGTGTGTGTGTGTGTGTGTGTGTGTAAGCTCTGATGCTGTGGTCTATAGTTGCACTGCTAACCCAAAGGCCAAATCTCTCTGATACCAGATACAGATAGAAATATAGATAGAACTTAAAGGAACACTAAGGCTGAAAGAGAAAATAAATTTTGCTTAATTTCTCTCCCATGTCTTCCAAATCCAAATCTTCCTACTTCCACACCCCAATTCTTTCCACCTCATCCAAAAGGACAAACAGCTCAAGCCACCACTGCACTCCATGCTATAGTCCCTTGGTTCCCCACCACATACCTATAACAGCACTTTGGCTGAAGAATAAATGGCAATAGGGAACCCAGCTTTGCTTCTTCATCCTCTTACCCGAATTTCCCTGCTCTCACGGTAAAAATCTTTATCTTCAATCTTCTCAAACAGCAGAACTCTTCCTTGCCCAGCAGAACACGCAAATCCCTTTGAATAGGCTGCGATGGCAAACACTTGGGGCAGGCTCAGCTCGCTGTTGCTACTAGCTGGTGCAGCCTGCTCAATAGAAGGAACTGGGGAACTGGGTGATGGAAATTCAATCAGGCTGAAAAGGAAAACAGCACATCAATTTTATAGACACAATCTCAAGTAGATGAATTCTACTGAGAATGAGAAAGAAAGTCTATGCATGGGGCATAATCCCTTTACTATCATCAAAGCATTATACTACTGCACAGCCAGGAGAGTATAACATCAATGAATGGAACCTTCTAAAGATTAAGTCCCTGTGTGCATCAAAAACTTTTTCTTTTTTTTTTAAAAATTTTTTTATGTGAGTGTACCGTCAAATCAGATCTGACTGGTACAGGAGGAGATTGTCCATCCTTTTCCCGACAGATCATCTGGTGGATTTGAACCGTGTGCCTCTGGGATTGTAGTTGCAGCTCCTTGCCATTAGGCCACCAGAGCTCCCCTAAAAACTTTTTCAAACAGAGTGAAAAGAAAACCTACTGAGTGGGGGAAAAACATTTGGCAATGACATCTCAGACAAGGGTCTCATAATGAAAGTTTACAGAATACTATAAGGCATCCACAAGGAAAAGACTGATAAATCAATTACAAAATGGGCAAAAGCCATGGGCCAACAGACACATGAAGAAATGCTCAAAATCACTGGCAATAAGAATGCTCAAAACCACAATGAGATAGCATCTTACCCCAGTAAAAGGACAGCAAGCAATAAATGTAGTAGAGAGTTGTGGATAGATTGGAACTCTCATACCCTGCTGGTGGGATTGTAAAACTGCTTAGCCACTCTGGCAGATGGTTAGGTGTTTCTTCAAAAAGCTGAACCTAAAAATTCCATATGACCAGCTATTCTACTGCTAGGGATATACCAAGGAAATTAGAACTGAGACATAAATGGAGAACAGTACAATGATGTTCACTGCAGCATTATTCACAGTAGCAAGAAAAAGGCAATAACCCAAATGTCCATCAAATGATCAGATTGAGGAATTGTGGTAATGTTTACATGATCAAGTATTATACAGCACTCAGGAGCAATGATTTAGAAAAATATCATATAACACAGGAGAGTCTAAAGAGCATTATGCTTAGTGAACTCAGTCTCATAAGACAAATACTGCATAAAGGTATTATTGTAAAAATAGAGTGATAATTAATAAAATGTATATAAAGGTCCAAAGAGGAAAAGAAGGGGTAGGAGGCTGATGGTGGAAAGGGGAAGAAATCACTGGGTCAGAGTTTGGTGGGTGGGGGAGAAGGTGAAGGAATTAGGAAAGATCCATTGGGGATGTGAAAAGACTGGGGTACTAGTGGCCATAGATAAATGGTGATTAATTTTATAAGGCATAATGTAAGGCAATGATCATGTATCAAACATACTGTGAATGAAGTAATGTGTGAAACACAATGTATATGAATTAATCACAATGTATACAAATTCTGTATGTAAACTAATACAAAAAATGTTTTTTAAAAGCACTAAACTAGAGGCTTGGTAATACAATGTAAATTTCAAAGAGAAAAGATTGATAATCTTACAATCCCATGTGTTCACTATTATTATTGTTTCCACTTAATTAAGAAAAAAGTGGCTTAGAGGGGTTGAATTCCCAAAGTCACAAAACCAACAAATTATAAAGCTGAGAGTTGGAGCCAGATTGTTCCATTTCTCAACCAGTCATTCACTCATTGAGCAAATATTGGCATTACACTGTGTTAACAACTCTACAGAAAACTGATAAATAAGATTTAAATAAGTTCTGTCCTCAGAATATGACAAAAGGACAATGTAAAAAGGACCTTCAGGGTCAGCTGAATACCACAGGAGTAGCCACTCTGCAGTTGACAAGTATCTTCTGAGGACAGTTACAGAGGAAGTTGAGCTATCTGAATTGAGTGAGTCTGAGACGTGAAGCTGAAGCAAGGAGGACCAATGGGAATTTGCCAGGTATGTGCACACACAGAAGATGGTCAGAAGGAATGGTATGTGACTAAACTCAGAAGCAAATGAGAGCACAGGAAATCAAAACAGAGTGCAGTGGATAGAGGCAAAAGTGAGTATTTGAGATGTAAAGCAGCAGAAATATATGGGCCATGTTAAGGAGTTCTGCCTTTAATTTTGATGCCTTAGACTCAAGGGTTCGGAGGGACTTGTGAGGAAGCTCTTACATAAATATGACAAAGAAGGAGATGCTAGTCGCAAGGAGCTGGAAAGAGCAGGAAGTTACTGAGGAAGGTGAATGAGTAGCATGCCAATGTGCCTGAGTGCTTTGAGCTCTGTAGTCAGACATAGCAGAATCTAAATTTTGACTTTGTCACTTAACAATGCCATTTTCCCCAATAAGTCACTTTACCTTGCTGAACCTCAGTTTCTTTGTCTATAAAATGGATGTGATAATAATGCACATTGCATTATGTTGCTGAAAGACTTAAGTGAGAATGTGTGGTGCACAGAATAGTATGTTCTAGTAAGTGAGAGATCTTATTACTATAGGTATGTTTATAAGGTGTCACTGTGTTTGCTCTGACTTATAAAGACTTTTTTACATCAGAACTCTGCCAATCCTATGCCATCCTCCCAATCTCTGCTATGTTTACTGTTCCAGACATGGTGTCAGTTTACCTGACGGTTTTCCTCTCTTTCACTTTTTACTTTTCCAAGCATGATATCCTTTTTCTAGGGACTGGCCCCTCCTGAAAACACATCCAAAGTATGTGAGACAAGTTCTCACCGTCCTTGCTTGGAAAGAGTGCACACTGACTGCACTTGTTTCAAACAGACTGTTTTATTCTTTTGAAAATCAATGGGATCCTCAATATTTCCAATACTGTGACAACTGAAAGGCACCAAGTAATTTTTTGTTTTCCTTATTAATTGTTCAATTTTCATATGCATAGAAAGCAACTGAAAATATCATCATTTGGATTAGGTATATCTTAGTCTTTAAAGTGACATCCTTTCAACTTTGTACACTCTTTGGAAGCAGACTGCCCAATTTCATTACTGCTCTTTCCACTGATGTTGATTGTGGATCCAAGTAAAATAAAATCATTGGAAATTTTAGTCTTTCCTCCATTTATCATAGTATTTGTTATTTGTCTACTTGTGAGGATTTTTATTTTATGTTGAGGTGTAATTCATGCTGAATGCTACAGCTTTGGAGCTTCATTACCAAGTACTTCAAGTCCTCTTCACTTTCTTTTTTTTTTTTCTTTCCTCTTCACTTTCAAGCAAGCAAGGTTGTGTCATCTGCCTAACAAGTTATTGGTAAGACCTCTTTCAATCCAAATGCCACACTCTTCTTCATATAGTCCAGCTTCTTGAGTTATTTGCTAAGGATACAGATTGAACAGGTATGGAGCAAGGATATAACCCTGAAATACATCTTTCCTGATTTAAAACAATGCAGGGTTTCTTTGTTCTGTTTGGACCCCTATTTCTCAGTCTATGTATTGGTTTTGCATGAGCACATTTAAGTGTTCTGTGATTCTTAATCTTCTCAATGTTATCTAGAGTTTGTTATGGTCTACAAAGTCAAATGCCTTTGCACAGTCAATAAAACACAGATAACATTTTCCTGGTATTCTCTCTCAGTCAAGAACTATCTGATCTTAGCAACGATATTCCTCATGTTACATCCTCTTCTGAATCTAGCTTGAATTTCTGGAAACAGTAGAAGTTGAAAAAAAAAAGGCGTTTCCTAAATCTCTTTACTCTTTATGCTTTGATAAAAATTACCTATAACATTTTCTTGCACTTTCTTAGTTATCAGTTCTTACTACTGAATTTTTAAGTTCTTTGAGGACCTGCTTCCCTCACACTAGCAAGGTGCATTGCAGAGGCTCAATAGGCATTTATTTCATTGATTTGGTAAAGCAGGAGGCCTCTAGAAAATACATATTTTAAAAATTATAATTTTGAAGACAGTTTTCATGAAAATAATTGATATAAAGTCAGGTAAAAAGAAAATAATAATATCTAGGTGGTGATCATGGCTGTAAAATTTGTGCTTGCCTACTGATAAATACTATCGATAAATCTAAGGTGCCCCAAAAAGCCAAAACAAAGGGAAGAAATGAGAAAGCTAAAGAGCTGAGCAGATTTCAAAGAGCTGCTCAAGAAGATAAAGTATTATAACAAAAATGTGCAAAGAGATGAGATCACAAAACCAAAAGGGAAAAATTCACTCAGGATTTCTCAAGCCAAAGGAACTGAAGAACAAATTCAAGCTTCAAGTTTCAATACTTAAAGATGATACAGGAAAAATCTTGAATGATCCAGGAAGCATCAAAAGAAGATGGAAGGAATATACAGAATCACTGGATCAAGAGGAATTACCTGACACAGACACAAGCGATTGTGTTAACAGACCAAGGGAACACTATATAGTTCAAAATCAAGACAGAAGTGTGTTAAGTATGTATCATTTCTCCATATCTTTTCAATATACATATGGAACAGATCACTTGGGATGGACTTTATGAAGAAGAATGTGGCATCAGGATTAGAGAATACTCATCAACAAATTGTGTTATACAGATGACACAACTTTGCTTATTGAAACTGAGGAGGACTTGAAGGGTTTGGTGCAGAAAATCAAGGTCTGCAGCCTTCAATATGGACTGCATCATAACATCAAGAAAACAAAAATCCTCACTACCAGGTCAATAGGCATCGCCATTATAGATGGAGAAAAGATTGAAGTTGTTAACAATTTCTTCTTGCTCAGATCCACAAATACCACCCTTGGCCCTAGTAGTCTGGAAAGAAAAAAAAATAGTTGCATTGGGAAAATGTGCTGTCAGAGATCCCTCCAGAGTACTGAAGAGCAACAATATCAGTCTAGAGATTAGGGTATAACTGATTCAGGCCATGGTCTTCACAATCACTTGCTATGAATCAGAGAGCTAGACAATGAATAAGGATGACAGAAGAAGAATTAATGTCTTTGAGATGCAGTGCTGGAGAAGAGTATTGAACATATCAAGACTGCCAAGAGAACAAACAGGTCTGTTCTGGAGAATAAAACCAGGTTGCTCCTTGGAGGTAAGGACTTTGAAACTCCATCTCACATACTTTGGGCATGTTGTCAGAAGGGGCCAATCCCTGGAAAAGGACATCATGCTTGGAAGGTTTAAGGGTCAGTGCAGGAGAGGAAGACCATGGATGAGATGCACTGACACAGTGACTGTAGCAATCGGGTCAGGTGTATCAGTGATGGTGTTGCTGGTTTAGAATAGGGCAAGGTTCAGAGTCATTGTTCAAAGAGTCACTGTGAGTTGTAGCTGACTCACCGGCATGTAACAACACTAACAGCACAGATAAACACTAGAAAGGAAATGGGGAAAGTAAAAAATAGCTGACTTTTACAACGAGATATCATCTCAGCCCAGTCAGAATTGCAAAATTTAACAGAACAGCAAGCAACAAATGCTGGCAAGGTTGTGGAGAGACTGAAACCCTTATTCACTGTTGGTGGGAGTGTAAAATGGTGCAATCACTGTGGAAGGCAGTATGGCGCTTTCTCAAAAAGTTGCAAATAGAGATACCATTCGACCCAGCAATTTCACTACTGGGAATATACCCCAAAGAGACCATCACTGACATCCAAGCAAATATATGCACACCCATGTTTACTGCAGCTTTGTTCACAACAGCAGGGAGTTGGAAACAACCTAAGTGCCCATCAACAAACGAATGGATAGAGAAGCTGTGGTATATTCACACAATGGAATACTACACTGCATTGAAAAACAAGGAACTCATGCAATATTACTCAAAATGGAGGATATTATGCTGAGTGAAGTATCTCAGTCACAAAAGGACAAATACTGCATGGTGCCTGTTGTAAAGCAGGACTGCTCTCAAGGTTGTGAGGAGACTGAGAAGGATGGGTTCAATAATGTATACTGCATTGAAACAGATGAAGGAGAAAACTGTTTAAGAGGGAAAATGATTAGGGATTTTTGTCATGACAGGAGTCCAGAGCCAAGGCTGTCTAGTGGAGTGGACCTTGGGAGAGGGATTGTAAAACAATGAAAGAATTTTTTTCTTCCTTTTCCAAGAGGGTAGTGTACTAGAGGGGAAGATTTGGAGGGGAGAAAAGTGCAACAATAAATGAATGAATGAATGGAAATCCAAAGTCTCTGTAAATTTTCATTGAAATTAATAATAAATTTTTTTAAAGAAGAAAAAAATAGCTGACTTTTAAGGGAGAGTGTTAATAAGTGATTTTTAGGGAATGTTATTTTCTGTACTATTAGTATAATGAATATATTTTTACAATAGAACCAACTCAGAGTACCCCCATTACCTCTCTGATTCCTGGATCATATTGACGTTCTTTACATCATAATTTTGTTCCTTCATCATTATGCTTGTTTCCCAGCGTTGATCTCCAGATTCAAATAGGAAGAGCTTGCCTGTATTTGTGCCAATGATGATCTTGTCATCAGACAACCATGCATGAGACAAATAGTTTTGAGATTCTCCCCTCTGAAAATTGGTTTGCTTCAGGGTTCCCTCAGTAAAACGGAGAATCTTAAAAATTCCATTTCCAGTGACACAAACCTGAGTATTATCCTTGGGATTAAAACTCACCTGTATAATGTGAGAGAAAGGAAAAAAGATTCATAAAACAAATTCTGACATTATTTCACATTTGGCTGACTATTTTTGATAGCTCATAGAGTCATTCAAATGTTACTAAATAATATAAATGTCATATTTGATAAAGGCCCACATATGTATCCATTATGATTTTAGGGGCACAAGGATCTTAAAATATCTACAAGTCTTAGAAAGGCCAAAAAAGCAGAATTAACGAATACTGACAGCTAAACTGCAAGATGCCAATGAAGTGCAATGAAGAACAGAAAATTAAACACCTAGAGGACCCTGAGCTTTAAGGATGATGGGAAAATCAGGGAATAGTTAGTGGTGATGGCTAAACAACATTGTTCTGGATTTAATATCAACTTGTCTAGGTTGTGAGTCGCAGGATTATGAAATTATGTATTTTGTGATACAATTCTCCTTTATGTTGTCAATCCTAATTTCTATGTAATTAGTAAGGCAAGATTGGTAACAATTATGTTCACAATCAATACCCCTGGGACCAGCAGTCAAGAAACCACAGATGTATTGCACTGGGAAAATCTGGTGCAAAAGACCTCTCAAAGTGTTAAGAGCAAAGACATCCATTTAAAGACTAAGGTGTGGACTGAGAAATTATGGTACATTCACACAATGGAATAGTATGCAGCACGCAGGAGCAATATCTTTGTAAATTATTACCCAACTTGGGAGGGACTGGAAAGCATTATGCTGAGTAAATGAACTCAATCCCGTAAGGATAAATATTGTATAAAACCGCTATTGTAGAATGAGTATAAGGATCCAGGAGGGGTAGAAGAGGCTGGAAGCAGAGGGATGTGGATGTGCAGGGGGAAGGGGGGATTAATCATGGGTTGTACAATTTGATGGCTAAAGGGTGAGGAAAATGTAAAGAATTTGTTCAAATTTGTATTTGAATTTTGTAAATAAACTAGTGTGGGGGGGGACGACTAAGGTGTTCCTAATCCAAGACATGCTCTTTTCAATTTCTTCCTGTTTCTGAAAGTTGCACAATGAATAAGGATGACAGAAGAATTATTGATGGCTTTGTCCTGTGGTGTTGGAGAAGAGTAATGAATATTAAATAGACTGTCAAAGAACAAACAAGTTTGTCTTGGAAGTGCAAGCAGAGTGATATGTGGAGGCAAGCATGGTGAAACTTTGTCTCGTATATTTTGGGGCATGTTGTCAAGAGTGGCAAATCCTTGGAAAAGGACACTATGCTGGGAAAGGTGGAGGGTCAGAGGAAGAAAGGAAGATTCCCAGCAAGAGAGATTGACACAACAACTATAACAATGGTCTCGAGCCTATCAGAGATTATAAGGATGGTGCAGGTTAGGGCAAGGTTCCCACCTGTTGTGCATAGGGTTGCTGTGAGTTACAGTGAATTAGATGGCACCAAACAACATGTTCATGAGGCAAGATGAAAGCTATAGGATTAGGTTATTCCTCAGTCACTCTATACTGAGGTAGAAAAGAGATTAAACAAGAGCATAGAGACAGGAAGGGGGATCTCAAAATCTCCAAGAAAGAAGAGCTGGGAATGGAGTATGTCTTCTGGACCCAGAGTCCCTGTTGGTAAGCCTCCTAGATCCAGAAAGATTGATACCAAACATATGGAAAATTCCATGGAATGCCAGGCACAAAGATGCTGAGACAAGAGGCATCACTCTAGAACTGACACATGGAAAATACCTTCCCTTCAAAGTCAGACCCCTCAACTTTTACTTCTAACTTCCTATACTGTGAGAGAATAAATCTGTATTTTTAAAAGACACCAACTTGTAGTATTTTTGTTATTTCAGCACTAGATAATGAAGACAGACATGTTGAATACATTTAATATCCCTGAACTGTACGTGTGAAGAGTGTTGGAATGGCAGTTTTGTTACTTCTGTATGTACCACAATTTTTAAAAATCTATTTTTTAATATATAAAATGAAGGCAACAACAAAAAAGTAAAAAAGGCTCAGTTGCACCAACAGGAAAGTGAGGCTGTCAGGCTTATGCCACTCAGTCCAGGGAGAAAGGAAACACTTCAGAGAGAGGCTATGTGGTGTGTCCTACCAACTCAGCCTCCTCTTATCATAGCACTTGCTCCAAAGTGCAGCAACTGACCATTTCTCTGCTGCCTTCACTAGATGAGTAGCAACATGCTGATGGGGCTGTGATGTTTTCCATTTCTGTAATACCGATACTGTGCTCCTAGTGAACACCCAATAACTGTTTATGAATGTCCTCTACTCTGAATAAATAACTGCATCCGACCTCACCAGAAATAACCTGAATCTACTTGCATTTTGTATGATTTTGTGATCACTAAGCAATCTTCTCATTACTCTCATTACTAATGTTACCTCACCAGTACTCTGTTGTAGGAAGGGAATACACTGGATAAATGAGTGTTCTGATCATGACCAAGTGATTCTGGTTAATACATTATTAGCCTGATGTATGCTGAACAGCTGACTCTAAGCTTGGGACACAGATTAACCAGAATCTCTGAAAAGGAACAGGACTGAATTCTTGAACTTATAAAACTCAGTGTTAGATCCTAGACAATTAGCATAATATTGTAAAACTCTCTAAGTTGTCAGAGAGCTTCTTAATAACAAATTTCATTTTATCTGTAAGCTACAATAGAAAGGTATGTTTCCTCTTGATAGCTTTCTAAAAACATAAAAATATATCTTTGATATCTTCCCACCTCCCAACAAAGTTGTTTGGAATAGGCCAGGGCCAGGTTGAGAAAGAGGGTTCTATAGGTCTGTGACCTCTGGGTCTTGGTACAGAAGGCAAGAACTGAATTCAGGGAAATCCAGTTCCAGAAGTGCCTGTGCTACTCAGTATCTCTGTGGTCTCAGATGAGTTAGCCTCTCAGAGCCTCAGTTTCTTCATCCATAAGGTGGGCGTGATAACAGTAATACTTACCTTATATGGTATTGTGAGACTGTATTTAAAGATACATATAGAGAATTAGCACACTTCTTGACACATTGAAAACTTTCAAGAAAAGCCAGCACTTATTATTCTTTACAATTTGCACAATACTTGTTAATGATAGAAGATACCTGGTAGACAGCATTGTTCTGAGTGTCAGTTCTAACAATGGCCATTACTTTCTGTTTTTCCCACAGCCAATAGACAAGGTTTGACTCGGGAGTTGATGTCTGAGCCAATAGATATTTGGAGTCTGGAGAAAAAGCCATGCTAATAAATTTCTGAACTGGAAAGTCAAAATTATTAAGGATTTTGCGCTTCCGGCAAGGTATGGCTGACAGTTCATAAATGGTGATGACAGGTTTTTCTTGCACAGTCTCGGAGACAGCAAGATATCGCCGATTGGGACTGATGGCTAAAGCCAACATGCCCTGACTCTTTTCTGAGCCTGCAAACAGAAGAGAAAAGGAATGATGAGGAAGGCTATGTTTCCAATAAACCAAACCTAGCATAGTAGTAGAGAAGGGCATACAAATATTCAAAAAGTCAGGACATAAATATATTATTATAACAAGCACAAGGAGGCCAAGTGGGAAGAGTACTGAGAGAATAATTCATGGAAGAGGATATTGTTGTTGTTATGTGCTACAGTCAGAAGCAACTCATAGCTGACCCTTCAGTGGGTTTTCAGAGGCAGTAAATCACCCAGGAAGACATTACTTTTCCTAGCTGAGCAACTGGTGAATTCAAACAACTTACCTTTGGGTTGGCAATGCAATTCCTTACCTACTAGGCCATAAGAGGTCCCTTACCATTTGTTGTTGTTGTTATGTGCCCTCAAGTGGCCTGTGACTTATAGCTACCCTATGTACATCAGCCCTAAACCCTGTTCTATACTGTGCCAACTTTACTATCTTTAACACACCTACCCCCATTATCCTAGTCACTGAATCAACCTATCTCATCAATGGTCTTCCTCTCTTTCTCCATCCATCCACCCTTCCAAGAATGATGTCCCTCTCCAAGGGCTGGTCCCTCCTGCAACATGCCCGAAGTCTGTCAGACAAAGCCTCAGAATCCTTGACTCCAAGGAACAACCTGTTTTCACTCTCTCCTGTTTGTTCTCATGGAAGTCCATGGTATACTTAATACTCTTCTCCAGCATCACAACTCAAAGACATCAATTCTCCTTCTATCATCACTAGTAATAGTCCAGCTTCCTAACATATAGCAAATAATTGTGAAGACCATGGCCTGGATCAGGAGCACCTTAGTTTCCAGACTGACATCATTGCTCCTCAGTACTCTAGAGAGGTCCCTGACAGCAGACTTTACCAATGCAATTCATCTTCTGGTTTCCTGGCTGCTGGTACCAAGAGTGTTGATTGTAGAGCCAAGCAAACAAAAACTGTTAACAATCTCAAAATCTCTTCAATGTCTATCATAATGTTACCTATTGTCCCAGGTGATGAGAATCTTTTTCTTGATGCTGAGCTTCAATCCATATTGAAGGCTGCAGTCCTTGACCTGCAGCAAGCATTTCAGGTCCTCCTCAGTTTCAGCAAGTAGGGTTGTGTCATCTGCCTAACACAGGTTGTTGATGAGTCTTCCTCCAATCCTGATGTCACATTCCTTCTCATAGATCCCAGTCTACCAAATGATCTGTTTTGCATATGGATTGGAAAGGTATGGAGATAGGACACATCCTTGGCATACACACATCCTGATTTTGAACCATACAGTGTTTCCTTGTTCTGTTCTGACAACTGCCTCCTGGTACAAGTATAGGTTTCACATAAGCACAATCAAATGTTCTGGGATTCCCATTCTTCTCAGAGTTAGCCACAGTGTTGAGTGGTGCAGGCGGGAGTGAAAGGGGAGGATGGTGGAGCAGGGAAAAGGGTGGGTCAAGATACATGTACCAAGGGCAGGTAGCAACATAGTTACTTCTATAATTGGGGAAATGTCTTTTATCTGTTCCTTTCTGTAAAATGTTTGTCTGTCAGATACTGTTCTAAGTATGAGCATTCAAATTAAGACAGACTACGAAGAAGATTGGCCATCCACCTTCGAAATAACAGGTCTTTAAAAACCTTACATAAAATAGAGCAGACTTAGACTAGCAGATATGGCAAGTGAGGCTGAGACCTCAAATATGGAAACACAAAGGAGGAACAGGAGTTAGCAGACATAAGATTAATTACAAGTCTTCAAGAACCAAAATATAAGACCTTAAGTCTATCACATCTGAATATAAAAATCAGCTCCAGAATAGATTTGAGGCATTGAGAATTAGCAATTGAAGACCTGATTGAGTTATGAGATGACATCAAAGATATCATCCATGAAGAGAGCAAAGGGTCATTACAAAGACAAATGAGGAAGAACAGACCAAAATGGCTATCTGAAGAGACACTGAAGATTAGTACACTAGAGTGTTGATATGTCAAAACAAAGTGGGGGGGGATACCAAAGCAAAATAAATGAACAGATGATTTCAAAGAGCAGCTCGAGAAGACAAAGTACTATAACAGAATGTGCAAAGACCTGGAGTTGGAGAATAAAAAAGGAAGTTTCTTAGCATTTTAAGGCTAAAAGAACTAAAAAGCTAAACATTTCAAACTAAAAATTGAAGCCTCAGTATGCAATACTGAGAGATGCTATTGGCAAAATCTTGAAAAATCCAGGAAGGATCAAAAGACGATGAAAGGAATACATGGAATCATTGTACCAAAAAGAACTGGTTTACAACAAAAAAATTTCAAGTACCATATGAACAAGAACCAACAGCTGATGTTGTTATTGTACACTGTGCAGTCGGATCTGACATAGCTGACCTTCTGGCAGGTTTTGTTTTAAATTATTATTAATTTTAATGAAAGTTTAGAGAGAGACAGGGTTTCCATTCATTCAATGTTGCACTTTTTTCCCTGCCCACACCCTCCCCCACTCCCAGCAGTTTTTAAGAAGCAGTTAATCACACAAGAGGAGATTGCCATCCTTCTCCCATGGAGTATCTGGTGGATTTAAACTGCACACCTGCAGGATTGTAGTGCAGCTTCTTGCCAGTAGGCCACCAGAACTGCCTAAGAAACAATACTAATGAAGGTAAAAAGTTTGAACTGCACTGAAGGCACTGATATAAAGATCCCATAAATTGATAAGATTCCAAGAGACATGCTTCAACTAACAGATGCAGTCCTGGACATGCTCACCAGTCAATGCCAGAAAATTTGAAGGACAGCTGCATGGCCAATTGACTGGGAGCAATCCATATTTGTTCTCAATCAAAAAATAGGTGGTCTAAAAGAATGTGGAAATTATTTAACAACTCACATGAAACCTAAACCTAGATAAAAAAGCTGTTGTCTGAAGAGACCAAGAGGACACTGCATGGTTTAAAAACAGGAAAGGTGTGGATCAGGTCAGTGTCCTTTCTACATACTTATTCAATATGTATGCTGAGACAAGATGGATTCTATCAGGAGGAATGTGGCATCAGGATTAGAGAAAGACTCATCAACAACCTACATTATGCAGATGACATAACCTTGCTTGCTGAAACTAACGAAGACCTGAAGCGCTCCCTGCAGAAGCTTAAGGACTGTAGTCTTCAATATGGAGTCAAACTCAACATCAAGAAGACAAAGATTTTTACCAATGGACCAACTGGCAGCACCATGATGGATGGAGAAGATTGAGGTTGTTAACAGTTATAGCTTGCTCAGTTTCACAATCTGTCTTGGCACCAGCAGTCAAGATGCTGTCAGGGACCTTTCCAGAGTACTGAGAAGCAACAAATGTCAGTCTAGAGACTAAGGTGTGCCTGATACAGTCCATGGTCTTTATAATTACATGATATGAATCAGAGAGCTGGACAATGACTAAGGATGATGGAAGAATCGATGGCTTTGAGTTGTGGTGATTTGAGTTGTGGTCCTGAACATATCATGGACTGCCAATAACACAAACAGGACTGTCTTGGAGAGGGTGAAACCAAGTTTCTCCTTGGAGGCTAGGATTTTGAAGCTCTGTCTCACATCCTTTGGGCATGTAGCAGGAGGGACTGATTCTTGGTGAAGGACATCATGCTCAGAAGGATGTGGAGGGACAGCGCAGGAGAGGAAGACCCCAGATGGGATGGACTGATTCATTAACTAGGGCAATGGGGGTAGGTGTGTTGGAGTCAGTGAGACTGGCTCAGGACAGGGCAGGCTTCAGAGCTGTTGTGCATAGGGTCACAGGCAACTAGATGGCACATAACAACAATAACAAAAATATCAAGCTCTTCCCATCTACCTTATCTAAAACTCCCAACATTTCCCCAACAGTCCCTCTTCCATGTTTTATTTTTGCTCATTAACATTTGTCATTTTATAAGACATTATATATTGCCCTTGTTTTATCTAGTTTATTGTTTCTCCTGCTAGATAGAATCACTATGAAAGCAGAGCTTTGTGTGTGAATCTATTATGTGCTTGAAACACCAAAAGTAGCTGCTGTAGTTGCCTCTCACTTACGGCGACCTTGTGTGTGTGTCAGAGTAGAACTGTGTTTCACAGAGTTTTCAATGGCTGATTTTCAGAGGGAGATGATTAAAGTTTTCTTCTGAGGTACCTCCATGGTTATTTGAACATTCTGTCTTTTAATTATCAGCAGATAACATCAACTGTCTGCACCATCTGCAATAGATGCTTCAAATCTTTTGTTGAGTGAATAAATGCTTGATTCTCATGACTGTAAGTAAGCCTCATATTATCTCTGTTTTACAAATTAGGAAATGGAGTCTCCTTAACTGAGAACCATAGTCATACCCAGATCTGCTTTTTATGACTTTTACAGGTTTCTATGTAACAGAAATGCCTTTAGACTTGGCCAGCAGGGTATCTTCCCTGGTCTCCACATTTTAGAGTACTCCCCTATAGTCCTCTTCTGGTTCTGAACTTTCCATGAGATGGGCATCCCCAGGTGACTCAGAGTTTGCGTTATTTCTTCTAGATCATTAAGGAGTTCTGGTGGCATGATAAGTATGTGTTAAGCTACTAACCAAAATGTCAGTGGTTTGAATCTACCAGATATTCCACAGGAAAAATAGGTAGTCTCCTCCCATAGATTTAGTGTCTTGGAAATGAGATGGAGGGCTCTATGAGTCAGAATTGACTCAATGGCAGTGGGTCTTCTAGATCATGCTGTAGATATCTGTGCTGATGTTAAGTACTGTAAGGTAAGAAGCAATTCACAGCTGACCCTCCAGTGGGTTTTAGGAGGCAGTAAATTGCACAGGAGGATATTATTACTTTTTCTCCCATGGAGCAGCTAGTGGATTCCAACTGCCTGTTTTGGGGTGGGCAGCACAACTTTAGGTATATGGGATTCTAAAATTCTCTGCTCAAATAGTCCTGAGTTTGTAAATAAGACCTGCATCCACTTTTTCCTTTGATCTTTCTCCAGCCCTTGACCTAGGCCTGCGAGATGATCAAAGGTGACTGATTAGTGGAGATATAGGTAGAGCTAGAATGTGATAAGAAGCTGCATGCTATAATCTCAAAGGCACATGGTTTGAATCCACCAGCTTCTCCACAGGAGAAAGATTTGATAATTGGTAAAGATGGAAATGGGTTCCATGTTCTTAACTTATATAAGAAATTTATTTAATCTGTATTTCTGGGAAAAAACTCAAAACTGGCCAAAAAAACTCTTCCTTTTCAATCTCTGCAGTGTGACTGACTATAGGGTTACAGTTAGCATATACAGTTAATTTATGTGTCATGATAAGAGAGTTTACCTGAAATGAACTTTTGCCATTTCTGATCCACGTTGTATTTCACACAGTGATTTCCTGAAGGAAATATAATTGTCTGTTCATCAAAGAAGAGGATACTGTTGGCCACATAGGCTCGAAGACCAAACACATGCTGCAACTGAGCTACCACAGTGGACATAGTCTGGCCAAGCTGCCAAAGACCAAGAGCAGGTGACATCAGCAGACGACTTCCCGCTCCGGCCCCCGCCCCGGACACGCCCCCGGGCCCGCCCCTTCCCTGGGATCCTCCGCCCCCTCCCTGGGAGCCTCAGCCCCCAGCTCCCTCTCGCCCACCGCGTGACGCCTTCTTCTCCCCTTTGCTCCTTCGCGGCTTCCACCGGATGGCCCTCAAAGTATCCTTTCTCACCTTTCTCTTCTAACCTCTGCGCCACTACACCACACGTATATTCAGGATACTACCTCTACGGATCCCAAACACCCCAGACACTGCCACACGCCTGAGCGGTTCCTATAGCAACGACAAACCGGAAGTGTGGGCTACAAACCGGAAGCGGAAGTTTCGGTTAAAAGGTTCGGCTGGGGCCGTGAGCGGCTTGGGTAGTGAGTAGCTGGCGGCGGAGTGGGTGCGTTCCACGTGGCTTTGTGGAGTGAGTGTGGCTGCTGAAAGCTGACAGCTGGGGCAAGAGGCATTCTTTCTCTACCGAACGGGCTACCTCTGCTTCCAGTAGGAATTTGGGCGTACCTGCGTGCAACGAGATGGACACTCCACCGGTTTCCGGTTCGGATTCTGAGTCTGAAGATTCTTTTGTCACAGACAGAGAGGTGGGTGTCAGACAAGCTCGCGGGGCACTGGAGAGCGTCTTACTTGTCGTAGTTCTGACAGCTTGTTGTTTCTCCACAGCTTCAGGATGCGTTTTCGCGAGGGCTTCTCAAGCCAGGCCTCAATGTCGTGCTAGAGGGGCCGAAGAAGGCAACTAACGACGTGGTGAGGAGGGACTCTGGGTCGAGGGTTACGCCTGAGACGAGACGAGCACCACTGTAGTTGGGACACAGGTCTTTCCCCACGAAAAGACCATGTCCTGCACGTTTCTACGAATGTAAATTACGTGCTAGTTAGTGAAAGTTTAGCATTTTGTCCTTCTCTCCACCCAGTGGGCTTGAGCTTGTGAGAGATGAACTCAGGGTACCCTTTGTCTGTATTTTCTAGACTGGCCTGAAGCAGTGCTTGGCAGAATTCAAGCGCGATCTGGAATGGGTTGAGAGGCTTGATGTGACCCTGGGTCCGGTGCCAGAAATCAATGGAACTCAACCAACACCTCAGAACCAGGATCAGAAAGCTATTAACCCAGAAGATGACTTCCAACGAGAGATGAACTTGTATGCTTTTTTGTCCAGCGTGGGAGAAGTTGGGAATTCTTTTGCAAGAGAATAAGGGAATGATAATGAGCTAACGTTTCATTGTGTATTCAGCTTTTATAGCAAAAATATACTTACAAAGGGGTTTTTATAGAAATGTTAGTGATTGTGTAAAAATTTGTAACTGACTTAGTTTTGAATAGTCATTCTCTTAAGTGGCCAATTTTATGGGTTTTAGTAACATTCCCTTTAAAAAAAAAAAAAGGACGTACAGCTAACTTTTTTCCTCAGATTCCAAGTTCTTGAGGTTGTTTAGAGTTTTTGTTTTCTTTGTTGATGGAAGTCAAATGTTGAGAGTTCTTTGATCTTGTGTGCATCCTGGTGAGATGAAATGAAAACTTCTTCCTCAGGTTTGTCACACTTTGCCTTACATTTCAGCTACCGTCAGGCCCAGGCTGCAGTACTTGCAGTGTTACCTCGCCTCCATCAGCTCAAAGTCCCTACAAAGCGACCTACTGATTATTTTGCAGAGATGGCTAAGTCTGACCAGCAAATGCAGAAGGTAAGAAAGAGAAGATATTTTCTCTGGAAAGCCAGGGGCTTTGTACTTAGTGTATTTAGCCAGTTTTCTGTTCTTGCGCTTCTCAGGCAATTTGAATCCACTAGTGGCTCTGAGGGAGAAAGATTAATAATCTCCTCCTCTGTATTTACAGCTTCAGAGTCCTAATGAAAGGTCAGCTATGAGTTGGCTCTTACTTGCTGGCAATGAGTCATTTTAAAATAATAATTAAAGATGATATCCCAATAATAGCAAATTACAATCCAGAAATTATTAATTTTATACAAATGTCATCACCACCAATTAGATAAATGTAGGATTGCCTATTCTCTCCCTCCCTCCCCCCGAATTAAGCCATTAAAGTGGATAGTGCTGTAAGAAATGTGTTTCCAGAGGTAAAAATGGCCTTTTTACTTTCCTATTCAGCATGATGTGTGGAAAGAATAACAGTTTTTGGCTTGTTATTGCCAGTGAAAGGCAGTATGACTTATAGACAATTACTTCTCTGTGGGTCTCAGTTAATTCTTCTATGATTTGAAGATTAATCTGTGAGAGTCTATACATCTCTGACATAATTTAGAGTTAGCAGAACTAATATTTTATTTAACTTAAGGAGCTTGTTGAACTGCTAAACAAAAAGCCAGTGGTTCAAAACTGTCAGGGGCTCTGTAGGAGCAAGATAGACAGTCACATCCCATAAAACTTTGTATAGCCTTGAAAACCCAGTGAAGGGTTCCTGTGAGTTACAATTGACTTGATCTTGAGACCTCAAAAAGAGGGGTTTTTGTTTGTTTTTAGTGTGATCTCATATAAGTTTATATGCTCCTTTGAGTCTCAGGCTGCATTTTAGGGAGCTCTTATTTTAATGGTACCAGGGAAGCTAATCTGGAGAGAAACCCAAACACATCTCTGTATATTTACAACAACCAACTTTCATTGTTAAACTGAAATGTGTGTTTGTGTGAAGCCAGGTACCTAATATGTTTGAACATTCACTGTGTACATGATATATTGCAGACTGAGACTGTGCTGTGTACTGTATGCTGATTTAGTTTCCACCTGTAGGCAGTAGGGATCAAGAGAAGTTAATCTTTCCTGGAATGCAAGGAAGTAGTTTTTTTTATGATGGAATAACTATAAGACGAGAATATAAAGGTGCTTTGAAGCACTGGCTCCATCATGGACAACTCTAATACCTGGGACGAAATACTGTCCTTTTGGGCCCCTTAGTCTCATGTGTAAAACATGAGAATTAGAATGAATGCTTTATAAGATTCCTTTGAGCTTTGCAGTTTGTACAGCTTGGGATATCTCGTCCTAGCTTTGGTTCCCCTAAGGTACAGGCATTTTATATTCAAACAAGATAAACTGACCTTGTTTTAAATTTTAGATTCGACAGAAGCTGCAGGCTAAACAGGCCGCTATGGAAAAGTCTGAAAAAGCTAAACAACTACGAGCACTTAGGAAATATGGAAAGAAGGTGAGAAGGAAATAATGTAGAAACGGGAGGGGGGAGGGAGGTCAGGTTGAAACACCTTGGTCTCATTTGGTTTCATGTCCTGTGTATGTTTACGTCTTGTATGTTTTGCCTCACAGTGGAGTGTCTATGCTAACATCTAAATGTTCAATCTTAGTTGGACACTATGAGTAGTACGCTAACTCCTCATAGAAGCTTTAGTTTAATACACTTTTTGTTGTTGTTATGTACCATCGATTGTCAAGCCCATCTAAGGAATCTTACTATTTGATTTTTCATCCAATCTGAGAGAAACTTGTGGCACCTGTATGTGAACTATGAATGCTCGAATTTAACGTAAATCCTACCAGGAATCAAAAAAATAAAGATTCTCAGTTGGCCCACCACTGGGCCACTTGGCAGCATCATGATAGACAGGGAAGAGATTGAGATTGTTAACAGCTTCAGTTTGCGTGCCTCCACAATCAACACTCTTGGTAGCAGCTGCCAGGAAATCACAAGACAAATTGCTTTGAGAGGGTTGGCTGCCACAGACCTCACCTGAGTTCTGAAGAACAACAATGTCAGTCTGGAGACTTAAGGTGCGCCTGATCCAGGCCATGGTCTTCGCACTTATGTGCTATGTATCAGATAACTGTATGATGACTAAGGATGATAGAAGGAGCATTGATGCCTTTTAGCTGTGGTGCTGGAGAATATTGAATATACCATGAATTGCTAGGAGAACAAACAGGTTCCTCCTGGAGAGGGTAAAACGAGGCTGCTCCTTGGAGGCAAGGATTCTGAAGCACTGACATACTTTGGGCATGTTGCAAGGAGGGACAAGTCCTTGGAGAGCGACATTATACTTGGGAGTGTGGGGGGGATAGCACGAAAGAGGAAGACCCTCATGACATGTGTTGACTCAGTGACTAGGATGGTGGGGGCAGGTGTGTCAGAAACAATAAGGTTGGCTCAGGATAGAGCAGCGTTCAGAGGTGTTGTACATAGGGTTGTTATGAGTTGCAGGTGACATGACAGCATATACCACCACCACCAACCAGGAGTACTCTCAAACTTTGGTGGTTTTCCTTTTTTATTGTGTGCACCATCTCAGAAAGAGGGTGTTAGGGATTAGTTAGGTTTGTGAGTAGAAATGCATATAAGCAAAATCAATATGGATTCTAACATTTGACAAACATTTGTGAACATTTTTGGGTTTTTCAACACATGTCATTTCATTGATATCTGCTATGTTTTGAAAAAAAAGTAGCTCTCTTCTGTGCAAAAAGCCAGGTGTGGATTTTCTTTTTTCCTTTGATCTCAGTTATGTATTTGAACAATAAAAATAATGCATGGCTTAAAATTATAAGAGGTATGCTAGAAAGTTGTAACCCAGCACCATAAAATGAACAGAAAGTGTGCAGTAGGAACAAAAACATGGCATCAAGATTGAAGGAAGATGCATTAACAGTTTTCCATATCCAGTGACACAATTTTGCCAAAACAAAGCAACTTTTAAGGACTGACTAAAGACAGCTTTCACTGGTTCCAATGTGAGGTAGTTATGAAGAGTATACTTGGAATACTTAAAGAGTTTTTGGTACATAATAAATGTTAGTTGGCAGTGGTATTAATCGCAGTATCGTTACTGAAACAATGTAGATACTTGGATCAGTGGTTTAAAGTACATGTAATTGTCCTGTGTCCAAACCCAAGGTACAAACAGAGGTTCTTCAGAAGAGGCAGCGGGAGAAAGCACATATGATGGACGCCATTAAAAAGTATCAGAAAGGTCAGTATCTTTGACTCCTAAGGGTATAGTGAACAGGGATAACTTAGAGTCAATTCAGATGCATTATCTTTTGGATCTAGTGAGCCTATAAGATGTGGGAATGGTATAGGGAACCTATTCAAATAAAATTTAATATGCAGCAACCTTATTTTGCGATTTTATTTTTCCTTTTTAATATGTGATAATGCTGATCAAAACACTTCTTTTTTTTTCACAGGCTTCTCTGATAAACTGGATTTTCTTGAGGGAGATCAGAAACCCATTGCTCAAGGCACAAAGGAAAAAGCTAAAGGCCAGCAGATGAAAAAGGGG